GGAGTACTGGCCTGAGTGAGAATTCACTCCCCAGGTCTTTCCCCAGAACCTGGTTCTGGCCGTGCACGGTTTTCAGTCGTTCTCCACCCAATCCTTAGGTTCTGCTTAATTTGTTGGCATCCTGCTATGGACCAAGTTATGTTAGGTTTATTCTAACATATGTGACGACAAAGTAACAACACAAAAGACGTCTGGATCTTTTACTTGCAAGGGGAGAGTGCAGCTTGCTCTGCTGGCAGCTTCCTCATCAACTCCGAGTTGCTGCACCCTTCCTCTGCTCTTTTATTTAGTTTACAAAAGTATCAGATTACATATCATGTGATTGTGTGTGAGTATATGAATGGGTATGGAGTAAGAAGGTAGGTGTGAATGTGGGTGTGGCTGTGTCTGGTAATTTCTCCATCAGTCTTGAGCACACTAGATTATAATATGAGAAGTAAACAGTTTCTTAAAGCGACAGTACAGCATGAAGCAAGGATAATAAATTAAATTCTTACAACATAAACCGTGGTGGTGAACTGTTTTGGGCCACAGTTCATGTGCAGGGTCATCATACCTGTCAGGTTTTAGGACATGGTTATGGTTTTATAATAAAGCATGTGACCATAACATCTGTACACATTCGCGGATGAAACTAAGGGGGAAGGTCGTGCCATCTTTAGAGCTGTGCAACAGCACCTCCCTCTGGAAATTATGGCTCATTACATGTCAAATCTCCTAATTCTGCTTCATCTGTGGTTCCAGAGTCACGTGTCATCCACGTCATAGCATATTACTGGTTATTACTGAATTGCATCATTAAACCTATAGTAACAGAGATCATAAACAACCTGCTGGGGATAATATCATATGCCTACAAAACACACAGTTACAAAGAATAATTTTAAAAGTTAACCTGTCTAGAAGTATATTATATGTATATATATACACAAACTTGTTTTACACATCTGAAAATTGTTTTCAGTCAGAACTAACCGAGTAGCAAAGTTGGATTTTTCAAAAGTAATACAGAGCACAGCTAAAGTACAATCATTTATTTTGTATAAATACATAAAATATAGTATAAACAGTCACATTTCATACAATATTAACCATGATACAATAAAATGGAGGCAAACTGAACAGGAATAAAGGCATAAATATACATTCTACATCTGGTAAACTTGTTTCTTACATGCCCTTGCACCAAATTACCAAAAGGTGTTGCTCTTTTCAAACCAGGGCCAACATCCCACCTCAGTCTCCACCAGAGCAGCATAAAACAGTTAAATACAACACTACTCCTCAGACTTCAGAACAAAGACAGAGTTCGACTTCAGTCTGAAGATCACTTACAGAGTTTCAATCTAAAAATCAG